ATATATATATAAAAGTTGCTCTATAATATGTTGTTTGTTTAAAATGTATATTGGAAGAGAGTCTAAAATATTTTTAAAACTAGATCTTGAGATTTGTCTATCGCAGCTCAACATGATAAGATATATCCTTTTGGGTTTGTTTGTGATAATATTGAGGTGAGTCACCACTCAACCAACCCTATCTAGGATATGTGCTTTCTTAGTCGAGCTCCTTTAGGGCAAGCTGCACTAAGGCAAGTGCTTGTCATTATTGAAATTCGCTGGGTTGGGTCACCATAAAACTTTTTTTTTTAATCATTTTTTTAAATTTCAAAATAAAACTTTAACCAAAGATTTTATCACCTAAAAATCCTTCATAAAGATAACCAAAAGTGAACCAAAGTACGAAAAATAAATTGTAAGAAACTAAAGAATACGCAAACTAGATTTATAGAAGATTGGTCGAAATTGACATAAATATACTCTCCAAAAGTTTTCCTCTTTGGGTATTGCAGTAACTCAGGCTCCTTTTGCACTCAACTAGCGGGAGAAACCCTTCTCCCTTACTAAGTAGAGAACACCCTTTACAGACTATGAAGAATCTCCCTCCTTTCGCCACCTGGCCTGACAGAGATGTCGCTCCCTCCTTATCTTTTTACTATGACGAAGAATCCGCTCCCTTCTTCTGTCTCACAGTCAAGCGCAGATGTTGCTCCCTAGCCTCCTTGGCTAGTGAGTCTTTTGTCTAAAGACTTTATTCTAGAAGGTCTTCTCTAAGAGCTCTCCACAAATAACAACAAGAGCACATAAGGTAGAGGCTAGTTGGAGCAATCATGTGAATCCCCTCATACCTCTTGAATCCCTCAAGGAAATCTCACACTTACATCACCTCCTCTCTCTCCATTGTGATGTGGACACTCTCCAAAGCTCTCTCTCTAAAAAAAAAAAAAAATCTTTAACTACACAACCTTCTGACCTTAAGTTTTCAGTATTACTATAGATTGGGCTCTTTCAAATAAACCCTTTTTTTCAATTTTTAGTCTCTGATCATACAATATTGTACACAAATTGTACTATTTGATTAGCCCAATTACGACACTAATCATCCTGTACATTGCACAATCATTTAATACGATTAGTTATATCGAATCACAAATCATGCAGGATGAACTATGTTTCATCCACTGAGCTCTCTATTTGATCATCATGTACAATATTGATCGTACAATATTATCATTAATGATGATTAGATCCTGATTCACTTCCTTGATTTATGGGATTAAATTAGGAAATATTAATTAATATCCATATATCATGAAATGGTTAGTGCAGTACGATCAGTTTAAATTTTAATTTTACTTAATTTAGGTAACATAGATTCGACTGCAAGGTTTTATCAAAATAGCTAATCATCATGTACGATTTAAGGACTTACAGTATAATTAGTATAGCCTAATTTAGTTAATTTAATTTAATTCAACATTTGAATTAGTTTGTTTTAAGCATATCATACAATAAGATTGAGTTTGTATAGTATAATTATATAAAAAATTCACATATTCAATTCTAATTATTTGATTTAATGAAATATTTAAATTAATTTCTGATTTAATTGATCGTACAATACGATTAACATACAAATTCAAGTATTTAATTTTTATATCCTTTTGTGTGTATGCATGATTGTCTTGCCAACATACACCAAATATATAAAATGACTCAAGAAAATAGAAAAGTATAGACTCCTTCAAAAACAGAATGACTTAGACCCTGATTCTGCACTATCTTGAGTTTTTAATTATGTTTGGTATATGATGTGCCTAAAATGGTTAGTTACATATAAGAAAAACATGCAATGCATAAAGCAGGAATAAGTAAATGAACATCAAATAATATTTACAATCTTCTAAACATACGATCTGATTCCCTCATTTTAATAAGATCTTTATAGCTACATGTGGGCAATCATCATTGATGTAACACTAGATGCCTTTGGTAAGTACCTATGACAAATGCTTTTGAAGTGTGCCTCTTAGGCAAGTGCCCCATGAGTGTCTTTTGAGCTAAGGACTACTCTGACCAATGAGGCTATTAATGCAAGGTTTGTAGGCCCATTGATTTAATGTAGGATCCTATGAAAGGACAAGTTGCCTCAAGTAGGGCCAGTTTATCTTTTGGGTGAGTTTTGCGTAAGCAAGTATCTTCTTGGGTAGAGTCGTAGAGGTATATTGAGTTGAGTCCCCACTTAATCAAACCTGTCTAGGATATGTGCTTTCTTGGTCAAGCTCCTTTGGGGCAAGTTACACTAAGGCGAGTGCTTGTCATTATTGAATTCAACTAGGTTGGGTCCCCTGTGAGCTAAGTTCATCAGCTCTTGGTGAAGTTCTTCTAAGATGAGCTTGGCTGATAAATATGAATTGCACGTATCCGCAAATTAGGGTGTCCATTAGGTATATTCATTCTTTATCATAAATGAGAATGTTAAAGAGGAATAAATAGATGGAGGATATATAATGTCACTGTTTTTCAAGTATCACTTAAATTTTTTATATTAATTACTATTTAAATTTAATTCATACAGTGTTCCATTATTTTGCTAAAAATGTGTGAAAAATGTGAATTCATACTATGCCCTTCAAGGAATTTTATCAAATTGAGATAATGTTGTGCTTATATTTTGCATTATCTAAAGAATGCTTTATTATAATGTTGTTATAATTAAATTTGATTTGAATGTCCTCTTCATTGCTTATGCCTATATCTCTGCCTCTGTTTTCTTACATTCTTTCATTTTACTCTTACAAAATTCTTTTTTCACATTAGGCTTATATTATCCTTATATTTACAATGATAGATGATGCATCTCTTATAATTAATTAGTCACCCAATTAGTTGAAAACCCTTCTTTTTTTCTCCTTTAAATTGAAGGAGAAAGAATTAGTTTCACAAAGATTTGACAATTATTAATTAGTATGGGAATCTATTGAGTCATATTATATAATTATTTTTAAAATTTTAAATAAATTTAAGTTTTGTTTGGAATGAATTTCGTACCACTTCTTAAAACAATTTTTTTTATTAAAAGTTGCTTTTAAAAATAGTAAGACAGTCATCCTAAATGAAGCCATAGGTTTCATTTGGAACAATTTTTTTACTGCTTCTTAAAGCAGCTTTCTAGTAAAATATTTTAAGTTTTGTACTAAAAAAATATTTTAAGAAGTAATAAAAAAAGTTATTCCAAATGAAGCCTTAATCATAAATTCATATACTTACCCTAATGATTATCAAAGCTCCTACCCACTAATATTAATAGAAAGAAAATAGAAGCACACAAAGAGCTATTCATAGAAAAGAAACAATCGAGAGCTCTAATCAAAAGCATCATAGCCATTTCATATCAGCAGCAAAACCCAAAAAAATAAAACAAACCAATAGCCCAAACAAAACAAAACAACAAAGATCCCCATAGAATGACAGCAAAAGTTTGAGCTATTCTGAATTTCCAAATAAAATTGTTTGCAATGTTGGTCTAATCATGCTTCAATCTTTTGAACATTGCCAAAAGATGGCTCCTACCATGTTCGCAAAAGTGAAAATGCTCCCAAGTTCTCCCCCCCTTCTTTAAGGCTTTGTTTGGGACAGCTTTCTTATTGCTTCTCAAAGCAACTTTTTAGTTAAAATTTTTTCTCTTTTTTACTAGAAAGCTGCTTTAAAAGCAACAAAAAAACTGTCCTAAACGAAACCTAAATATGATAATCAATGCTCTCTTATTGAAAAGAGGGAGAAGTTTGTTAAGGCTTTCTAAAAATTGTCTATGTAATTCCCCAAAAAAAAAAAAAATTGTCTATGCACAAATATGCTCCAAAATTGGAAGAAAAGAGCTAAAAATGTCAAGTCCATGGAAATCAAGCTATGCTAAATGCATTAAAAGAGTAAGAGAATATGAAGTGATTGAGATTCTCATTGTCAGTCCTACACAAGTGGCAAATCTGAGGATTGATGATGTTATGAATAGCAAGAACATCCACAATTTTGAGACCACCATTAATAGAAAAATGAATAGGCCCAAGGTTTGAAGAAGGGTGGCATGGTAGGATATCGAACACCTCATTCTCCACAGGAGAAAAACAATAGAAGAATGTGAGGCCTTATAGATTCAACAAGAAGCAAAGGTCTTTCTAGAAAAAAAAAAGTAGACCTTACGATCACAAGGTCTCTGAACTGATAAATTGTTAAAAAGCAGGTTGTTACATTGCCAAAGATCCCAAATAAATTTAAACATATAAATCTGGCTATAACATAAATGGAGAGAAGGCCTAATCAACCTTTGATCCAAGGTCTGCAAGTGTGATCCCAAGCTACAATGTGGAGCTAGTTGGCGTTAAGATTACCATGGCAAAGATATTAGGAGCAATATGTATTCAAATTTGTGTACAAATGCTTTAGGAAAGTAGAGCGAGCATGCCCAATTGGCAATAACATTCTAGATAAAGAACTTATAAAGTTGAAACCTGTTAGTTAGGGAGAGATATTTAGCTTTCCATCCATCAGAAATAAGACAACTTTTGTCTGCCAAGAGTGAATACTGCTTTTGGAAAAATAAATAAGGATTTTGGCAGTGTTAACCTGGAGGTTAGAGGCTTGGTAAAAGATGTCCACAATATTCTTAAGACAGAGGATGTTAGCAATTGATAAAGCCCAAAAATAAGAACATCATCTATATAAAGCAAGTACGAAAAATTGCTATCATTAATGGTGATATAAGAAATTTCATTCCTCGAGAAGCTTAGAAAGACAATTCATTGTAATAACAAAAATTAAGAGAGCCTAAGGCCAGAAGATGAGGGAAAGCATCCTTCCAAAATGCCATTGATACAAAGAGAGTAATGGACAAATGGACATCTTAAATATCTTTTGACAGTTGTTTTCATGTAACATAAGTTACAAATATAAATCTATGGCGCATTTACAGTAAAAAAGGCCCGGTAAGCCAACCCCAAAATAAGTTATAGACAGCAAAATAACGAAGAAATGTTATTATAAGGTATAAAGGAATACATACACTTAAATAAAAAAAATTGTTGAGATGAATTGCATATTTATCAAAGTTATATACTTGAACATAAATGTTCAAGTATCAAAGTTATATACACGATATACATTCAATGTTGTATCAAGCTTAGGAAAGCCACTACTTAAAGCTAACCTTATAAAGCCCGTTGAAGAATATATCAGAAGTTCAATTTCACACAACTATTTTTCAAGTCTAAGATCAGCCCAAAGAAGAAACCGCCGCGGCCGACCTAAAAATCTGGCTTGCCAGGCAGGTTCTTCGTTTTCATAAATAAAGCCACCCTTTTCATACAACTTTCGGGCAGCTTCATTATCCACAGCAACATGAACATATAGGTCAGTTATACCTGAATGAAAATTGACATGAGTTGGGATTAAGTATTTCTATGTATATATATGCACTAAAGCAACACCTCGCGAGGTTGTTTCTATAAAGCAATAAGCATGCCTGTACAAGCAGGAGTATATTAGGAAAAAATTTAGGCAGACGTTTTTGTCAATACAAAAGCTCATATATCGACAAGCATTTTGCCAAAAGCATTGTTAAAAGAATGAAATAAATTGATAGAGAATGAAATGGAGCTAAGGAACTTAGCGAGCTAAGCAGCATTCCTAATGTGTTTGGGTTTAGCCAAAAAAAGGGATAGAATATCGACATATAAGTTGAAGCAGACAGATGCAGATATTAAACAATGGCTAGTTTCAATTAAAAAACAAGGGGTAAAAAAAAAAAAGATGAACGAAATCAACTGCAAAATAGAAATTTGAAATGTTACGTAAGCTCTGTTTGGCATTGTGCATTGCACTGTCTGTGTTGGAGCTCCAGAGTAAACAAGATAATTGTTTAATAAGATTATGGTCTAAAGAGCTAAAAGAGTTATGGCTGTTTGGTTAAAAGCTACTGGGACACAAATAAAAGTGACTAAATGCCAGAAAGAAATATTTTTATAAATTTTACAATATTATAATTTAATAAATGAATCATAAATAATATATAATAATTAAAATTAATGAATTTATTTATATATTTAATAGAATATCTAAATTTCATGAAAGTGCTTTCTTAAGAGGCAATATAAACTACCTTTCTAAAAAAACTGCTTTTCAACCTTCATATAGCTATCCTTTTTCCACACTAGTTAAATCAAAAATCTTATAATTGCTTTTGTTCAAGCAGAAGCAAGAGCAAAAGGCATTACCACAGAGACTTTTAATCACATCAAGTCATGGGAGATAGCATAAACATTAGAAGGTAATAAGTCATGAAAATTAAGACTTCAGAGAGGTTAAATAGTCCCAATCCGGTAAATCTTAGATTTCCATCACTTTTGGGTGTTTTCTGTGCTAAACGCACGTAGCAAACCAATTCAAAAATTTATTCCTATAGGTTATCACCTAGGAATGACTATGTTGTAACATGCCACCTTGTATGAAAACCCGAAGTGGGCTTACCACCTATGAATAACTTCAAATTTAACAGTGTGATAACAGTGAAAAAAGAAATCAAATAATACATAATGTCTAGTTAATTTCAATCTCTGATTTCATCATCGCTAGGAAAGTATCTTCCCTCCCAAAACTCCTCCTTGGCCCCCGTCGGATGAGCTCGCTCCGCTCGGTTCCGCCCGCTGTTCCGCCCGCTCTGTTGGTTTCAGCCTCGAGTAGGTGTGGATCGGTCTGGTTTGGACCGGTCCAGCCGGCTCAAGTGCCGGCCTAACAGTATCTCGATCTTCAAAATGTATGCAGAAAATTGGGTCATCACATTTCACATAAGAATGGCCTTATAGGCGGCCAGTAATTCAGTAAATGTAAAACTTATAATGATTGTGAAACAAAAATGAAAGACTATGCATTAGAAATGCAAATCATATATATCCAAGTTGTTTTACCTCTTGGTTTTTATTTTTGAGTGCATTTCAAGTGAAAAAACAATCCAATGATCCTAATCCTAATGAAATGGGCCAGGTTGTGTTCTCCAATATTTTGACTCCCTCTTAAGGTTTGATTAACTAGTGCAGAGGCCAATCCAATTAACATCATGATTAAACTAGGTTTCACCCTTATTAGGTTTCCATGTATAATTTTCCACCATAACTGGTCATGTGTAGATTGTTACTTACTAGTTATTATATTGTTTCCTTATATGTTGCTCCAGGTGTTGCCTTACATGTACTGTTAAGGTCATGCTACAATATCTGAATTCCATCCCTGCTAATTGCTGCTTGCAGCTGCTCCCGCAATTGTTACAGCCTCGGATTTGCTAGTCTGATTGTCATTGCATAGCTACGGCCCCAATGATCTAGTTTGCTTACCTCAATCCTTAGGTATTGGACTACTTTTACTCTTGTACCAGTATAAAGCTTGGTTCTCAATTCATAAAATTTTTATCATCGCTATTATTTTAATTTGTTAACTTGTATTAGTTTATGTGTGTGATTGATTTATTTCAAGTGTGAATTATGCGGTTATTCTTTTCATAATATGAAATTGTTCATTCACTAAATTTCATGTGCAATTTCATATTTTGATCACTATTAAATTATTATTTGGAATCAAAGAAGTATGTTGTTACTTTTGCATTAATAGTGACTGATGTTGCTAGAGTTTAGCGTGGGCAAACAGATCTAGATATTTTCTATGGGCATGCAGAGCAAAAATGAGCATTCAAGTGCTTTGTACTAACTTAAATCTTATGCTGATCATTTTAAAATAAGTAGAATTTAAATATGAGTAATAACCAAGTAAATGAACCATGAACATAGAAAGTGTTTGATCGGGCATAAAATTCAAATGTTTATGATGACACAAAACACGTAGTTTTACTGCATGGCTGGTATAACGAAGAAAAGCACTACTATTTTCTGAGGAAAGAAAAATATTTGACCAACCCTAGTCGTCAATGGTGACAACAAATGGTCCATGCATCGGTCATGAACCCATGATAAGTCATCTAGTGAATCAAATTCTCAATTAACACATTAAAGGCCAGTAAATAATATAACGTCATCACATCTTTATTTACACATGGTAAGTGAACGAAACAACTCAATGATGATTCGAAGTTGCAATTTATTTCGTTTTCTAGTAGTAAATACGGAAGAAATGAGTGCATCACCCCATTGACGAGCAACTTTTTTTGACTCTGAAATTAATGCATGGCCAAAACCATTTCTTTGCAGCTCCTTGGCAACGCATACATTGCTAAGATATGCCCTTTTGAGGTCAGCTTCAATTCCCTGAATCAGTTAATTTTGAACGAGCGAAAGAAATATTATCAAGATCAATCACTAAATAACCTCGATAAACAACTTAAAAAAATAATGGATAATTTAACTGACTGCAACTTAGGCTTCATTTGGGACAGCTTTCTTAATGCTTTTTTAAAAAAAAAATTTAGTATAAAAATTTTTTGAACTAGAAATTTTTGTACTGAAAATCCAAAGAAAAGCCTTAATCGGTACAAAAACTATTGCAAACAAGACATCGAAATGTATTGATGCAGCATTTAGAGATTGGATCTATCCTACATTATTACATTTTGATTTGTGATGTTTATATTGGAATGTTACCAAATATTGATTAAGGACAAAGTCAACAATTCAGCGATAAGTCCCAAATCCACCTTGAAAAGGAGTTCCCTAAAGCATACGGATGAAGATGAATCATGTGCTACAAGATGCTTTTCAAAGCCGAGCAGCTTCATACTTGTGGGTTTATTAGAGAACTCTCCTTGAACAAAGGAACATTATAAAAGAACTTGTCCCAATCGATAAGTAAACTCACAAGTCGGCCCTAGCAAATAATATCTAGGAAGTCAAGTTAATCCAATCTACTCAGTTTTGTACTCCTTGGCTTATTAAAGAACACTTCTCAAGCATGCAACTATAATCAAAGAACTTGTCCCAGTTGATGAGTAAGCTCATTAGTCAGACCTAGCAAATACCATCTAGGAAGTCGGCCCTGGTGCCCACTCCAAAAATAATGACTTCTCAAAACAAACTATCAATTAGTCTATTCAAAAGAGATATCGTTGCTCTTGTTCAAATGCTAGCTTCCTTAATTCCTTCTTCCTTTGAGCTTAAGTTCAACTTCATCCTTATCAAGAATGAATGGTGCAAAAAGGGTAAAATTAAAATCTCAAAAGTAGATATCATTGCTAGCTTATTCGACAAGCAAAAGCAAGAAAGAACTTCTGACAAGAAGAGAAAAATAAGAGATTCGGGAACTTGCTTCTTAGTAGAAGAAGCTAGTCAACCAACACTCTCCTTCTCCTGCTGTTGTGAGAAAAGATGTTGATCTGGTAGTGACTGATGATCCCCGTGCCAAAGGTCAAAAATAAATAATTTTTACCTTCGGCATGGGGAACATCAATCATTATCAGATTAACATCTTTAATTTTAAGTTGAACATGGGGAGAAGGTAAAATTTTTTTAATTAATTAGTAATATTTATACTTCAAAGGATTCATGTAATGATTATTTGATAAATTTTATGCTGTTCATCAACTACCTAATGGAACCCTCCACTTTATGCTAATAAGTTTTTTAGATTTAATTTTATTGAGCACATTTTCAATGCATTCTTTTTTCTTTGAGCGAACTGTTAGGTGAAAAATCTATTGTTGATCCTCCTACTTACTAAGAGCATTTATGCTAGAGGCAAAAAATTGGCTAAGTTATCGATCTATTATAGACCAATGTTGCTAAACCACCCTTATAAGCCGAGGAAATTGAGTCTGTCCAACTGCCTGCTACAATTACTGAGATTGAAGTTGCCAGCTAACTATTGAAAGACAAAAATACAAGCGCACCTATTTCTAATTTGCTTATTATTACTATTTATTTTAATCGATAAAAAATGTATTAAAAATTAAATTAATTAAATTCTATCACTTTCCTCATATACGACTATCTCCCATCTTATCACGTTGTCTGGGGTAAAAAAGTACACAACTTTTTTACGCATTTATCTTGACTAAACAAAATGAAGATAAAAAAATCAAAGGCCAAGAAAAAAAAAACTCATTTTCCTCTCAGGCAAACCCCCTCACTTGCCTCCTCTCCTCCTCACAGAACCTATCGCCTACCATCCCTCACGAATTCCAACCCACGCCAACCTCACCAATGCCTTCTCCCTTCCTGCCGACAAATTCCCCTCTCCACATGATCCACCTCTCCTCCTATACCCATACCCGGGCAAGCGAGCCCATAGTAATCTAATGCAGACCAACCTCCTCCAAACCACCTACCCAATGTCGCCCATTTTCCATAACTTCAATGAATTTCACTTATTATCCACCCTTTTCTCCCTCTATCTCTCTAATTATCCATCTTTCTCTCTCTAAGCAAAGAGTAAGTCTCTCTACTTCCCCTCTTGACTTCACACTCTCTTCCAGTTTCTCCCTCAAACTCTCTCTCTCTCTCTTACAAAAAAAATTGTTTAATGTATTCGATCTCCTTGCAAATTCTCTTGTCGCCTTGTCATTGTCTTTGATGTATCGTGCATAGGAATAACAAATACAACTCTCAAAATTCTGATTGCAAGGACTGAATGTGATGAGCATAATTTGTGCGTATTTTTCTTAGCATGGCATGGGAAATTCATAAGAAACACTCACAACGTAACAGATATACCTTATGCATGCTTTTCTTAGCATGGCAGATAAAATTATACTATTTTGCAAATTCCCATATACGCCTTTGTTGGCAAAGTAGGTTTTCAAAATCGGTAATGGCATCTTCGAACACCGACCATGTGCACTTTTCTTGGCATGGAGGGAAAGAACAAACTCCTCATTGATGCCCCCTAGGCAGGGGAGACTACCAAAATTTGGATTGAACAAACTTGAAAGAACAACAAATGGGGGACTTATGGACATGAATGAGATTAATTTAAAATTAAAATAAATATTTATTAAATAAAAAAAAGGAAGAAGAACAAAAATAAAAATATATATTGTGAATGTCGAACTGAAACTGGATTTCTAGGGGCCTTGTTCTAAACACATTAGTTCGATTAGAGCCCATATAGAATCTCCTTGCCACACTCAGAATAATCTTAAATATTCATAAACATATTAAACAGCTCAAGTGAATGTGAAAACAAGCCCTTCTATTTATAATCAAGAAATCTAATTCCCATGTGGGGCCCACCCTCCACACTAAATTACAATCACATGAAGGCGAAATTTGGGCAATTTGAAAAATGTGCAAATATGCTAACTCGTAACAAGCGCGACCAAATTTGCATAACATAAACACAAGAGAATAGTAGGTGGAAAGCACTCTAAGACTTCAAAATGAAACTCTATCGATAATTTAACAATAAATGCTCACACAAACAATCGAAAATCAAATATTTTTCAAATCTTGCACGCATCAAAATATACTTATCAAATTTAAGCATAACACATTAAGAGTCATGAAACTAACACGAAAAACATGTCACTATCTCAACAAATGTGCAGCTTCTTCATGAAGCTTGTAATCTCCTCAATAAGTATGCAATTGGCACAAGAAGCATGATGCTTCTTCAGGAAGCGTGTAACTACTCCAAGAAACATGCCATCATTCTAAAAGCATGTAATGAGTCATGCAACTACACTAAAAGCAAGAATACTATATATCATATAAGTGTGTAGTATAGAAGAATAAAAAAGTGTGAATACATTAAAAAACATGCAAGAATACTATATATCGAATAAGTGTGTAAGCACACTTTATAAGCACATCAAAAAACATGTAAGTTTAACATGCAAATGAAAGCTATCAAAAAGGATGCAACTAAATTGTATAAATACACTGAAACATGTACAAGTACACCATGTAGGTGCATCAACAAACATGCTAACACATTGAAAAACGTGTGAGTACACTATACAAATGCACTGAAAAGTGTGAAAGTGCACCAAACAAGCACATTAAAAAGCATGCAAGTACACCATATAAGTGTGCCGGAAATGTGCAAGTTATCCAAAAGATATGTTGAATTGCTAACATTGAAATACTGGCATGTGCTCTAATAAATACATCAAACTCCTAAATTTGAAGTATGAAGTTGAAATAAAAAAAATAAATTAAATTTGACCTCGTATTGAAAAGCATGCAAATTAAAAAAAAAATGCAACCTCTCTAAACTCTATTTAATCTTTTAAAAGCAAGATTATTTACACATGCTCCAACAAATGTGCTAAATGTTCAAGAATAAATTTTGAAAATGTTGTGCGAGCTAAGAATAAGTTGAACTAAGATTCTCTTGCCTTAAAAATTGTGCAATTGAACCATGCCAATTATTTTACAATTTACAAACTTTTTTTAAAATTAAATTTTTTAATGTGCTTTGACAAGTAAATTAAACATTCAAACTTGTTTGAGAATGTTGTGCAAATAAGAAACAAAGTGAACTCAAATCAAACTTGATTATTTGCGAACAAATTGGCAGAGTTGACAAGGTCAAAAGTAACAAAAATGAAAATGTCCAACACCTCGATGATAGTCGTGCTAACAAAAAATTTCATCCGAAGGGAGCCTTACTTTCAAAATGCCTCCAAATTTCAAAGACAACTTGTTGGGGCTTAAATTTCAAATAAAAATCTAAAGAAATTTAAAATTTACAAATATTAAAATATTCAAAGTGAAATATGATATCATAAAATTTAAAGTAAAATTCACCCACCTAACATAACCATTTCTCAAAGGTGATCAATTTAAGAATAACATTGGCTCATAAAAAAATTAATAGCTTATTAAACGTATTGCTATGATTCACTCTCAAATAACTTCTCACTAGTAAAAACATGGCATGTGGTAAATTGTTATGATCAGGGTCACCTAATAAGATAGTTTTGATGCAAAATGACACCATTAAATTATAACAACAGTAATAACCCGCAAGTTCCTCAATTGCAAACCTTGAGTAATAAATCATTGGGTGCACATAATAGGGCATAAAATCTTCTATTAGCTAAGGTTGACATAAATATGTCCCATAACTTCTCACTAGTAAAAACATGGCATGTGGTAAATTGTTATGATCAGGGTCACCTAATAAGATAGTTTTGATGCAAAATGACACCATTAAATTATAACAATAGTAATAACCCGCAAGTTCCTCAATTGCAAACCTTGAGTAATAAATCATTGGGTGCACATAATAGGGCATAAAATCTTCTATTAGCTAAGGTTGACATAAATATGTCCCACAACAACAACAACAACAACAACAACATCAAGCCTTTATCCCACTACGTGGGGTCGGCTACATGAATCCTTTTTCTCCATTGTGTCCTATTAAAAGTCAAATTCTCGTTTAAATCTAATAAAGAAAGGTCATTCCTAATATTTTCCAACCAAGTCTTTTTAGGTCTACCCCTACCTTTCTTAACATAAGTCAAATCTAATACCTCTACTCTCCTAACCGGGTCATCGCAAGGCCGCCGTTTTATGTGACCAAAACCATCTAAGGCGACTTTCTCTAATATTATCTTCTACTGGAGCAACTCCAACCTTTTCACGTATATGCTCATTCCGTATCCTATCTCTAAGGGTAAAGCCACTCAACCACCTGAGCATTTTCATCTCTGTCAAACTTAACTTAGTATTATGCTTCTCTTTTAAAGGCCAACATTCGGCACCATAAAGCATTGCAGGCCTCACTACCATCTTATAGAATTTTCCCTTAAGTTTGAAGGGTACATTTCTATCACATAACAAGCCCGATGCATTCCGCCACTTCAACCATCCAACTTGAATTATGCTGATAATATCCCCATCTATTTCACCAACACTCTGAACAATAGATCCAAGATACCTAAAACGTGTACTCTTATTAATGACTTGATCGCCCAAAGTCACAATCCCCTCACTAGGACTATTACTACTAAAATTACACTCCATATATTCCGTTTTAGATCTACTCAAGCGAAAACCTTTAGACTCTAAGGTTGACCTCCATAATTCAAGTTTACCTTCAACTCCCTCTCTAGTCTTATCAACAAGAAGAATATCATCAGCAAAAAGCATACACCAAGGTACATCATCTTGCAAATGTCTAGTGAGAACATCCAAGACTAAAGCAAAAAGATATGGGCTTAAGGCTGATCCTTGATGTAACCCAACCGAAATAGGAAAATACTTGGTCAATCCACCTTGTGTTTGAACACAAGTAATAGCTCCTGCATACATATCTTTAATGATTTGAATATAAGCATTATTGACTCCTTTCTTTTCAAGAACTCTCCATAGCACTTCTCTTGGAACTTTATCATATGCTTTTTCTAAATCAATAAATATCATATGTAGATCATCCTTATTTTCTCTATATTTCTCCATCAAACCTCTTAATAAATGTATGGCTTCCATAATCAT